CACGTGGGAGAAGCTGAGGCCAGCCAGTCTCCTGGGTTCTTCCCCATGTTCTTCCTACTGCCCCTCTGTGGCTTTGGTTTGTAAAGAGAAGATTGCTTCTCCTCACTCCTTTCACACACTCTTGGGGCTATTTCGGTGAATTATATCTACCTTTATGTATTTCTCATTTAAAAGAAAACCCACTCTATGGCATAATGGTTTCCAGTGCCCTGCTGTTTGGAAGAATGTTTTACCTGCCTGTCAGTGCTGAGCTTTGAACTCCTTGAAGAAGGATGTTCTCATGGCTTGGCCCACCCAGGCAGAACCAGCTGAGCTGGCCAAGTGGTTTCTCTGCATCATTTGGCTGTCAGATAAAGGCCACCTGCTTATTGATGGGCACAGTGACCCTTAAGTCTAAACAGCCTTCCTAATGACACAGAACTTCATCTTAAAAGATGTCGGGGAATTGATTTTGCTCTTCTTTAAGAACAAAAGGTGTCAGACATTAGAAGGAACTGAACAATCAGGAAAACATAAGTCTCTATACCTTCCCGTCACCCCATCCCTGACCCAGAAGCTATGATCTACCAGTGGAGGATAAATCTAACCAAACCCGTGGGACAAAGGGAGAGAGCGCTGCACAGCAAGACAGCAGCATTCACTTGGAAGAAATAAATCATGAGATGGTTGAGAATCTGATTATCTGGATCAATTTCTCTGCATCCTCCTCTGCCCTTTTAGGCCTGCGCTAAACTTTCCCTTCGATGCAAATGGTATTAAGTGCCTTGTGTCTGAAAAGGTTGTTGGCAGGCTTTGGGTGAAGACACAAAGATGAATCTTTGTTCCCTTGCCTATAAAATGGGGATACAATAATCTACCTCCTGTGAGAATTCAGTGAGTTTATAAGGTAAAGCTCTTAAAGCAGCACCCGGCCCAGAGTGGATACTCAACTCACGTTAACTAAGAAAACGAAAATGAAAACCCAACTATAATCTCTGCCTAAAAAAAGGCTTTGAATCTAAGGAGGGAGATGAGAGGCTATGTATGTATGCCTCTGTTCTGTATTTTTAATCAACTACTAAGGCCATAGACAAAGAGTTGCCCCTTTTGTAAGGTAAAATAAATTACAGTCATTGTCCAGCAAGGAAGAAATGAATTAAAAATACTATAGGCAAAAAGGTTAAGAATTCAGAGTCTACCAGGTGGCACTGAGACTAAAAGCTCTCTTTGGGTGCCAGGTTCAGCTCAAGACTTAATGGGTTGTGTAGTGTAAGGGGCCAACTCCAGACTCCACTGGAGCTCACCCTGGAATCCACAGCAAACAAAGCAGTAACCTTGGCATATGGCGCTAGGAGAAGTAAGGTTTCTAGGATCAGCCCGTCTCTGGGCCACTCACTGGGTTCATGCCTCTGAACATGACCTTCCAGGAGCTGCCCTCATGGATGAACCTCCCAGTCACACTACCCAGAGAAGGGTTGTAAACAAGTTTTTCTAAATGTCTGAGAAATAGAAGATGAACTTTAGATTGGATAAACTGGGCTGTACTTCGGAGTCAGGAAGATGTGAGTAGGAATCCTGGCTTTGCCGCTTACCAGCTTACTAGCTTGGATAAATTGCTTGACCTTTCTGAGCCTCAATTTCAGTGTCTTTATTAAATAACTTTTATGACTAAAGAATCAAATATTTAAAATACTAGGAAAGTATCGATCATAAAATAGATGTTCAAAAAAGATTTGTAATTATTTTTATCAGTTCCTGAGAGCCCACTTGTAATTTTCATTGGGTCTGTACTCTTGGGAATTCTCCAGAAACCATGACAAGGAACTTCAGAGAGCATTATTAGCTGATATTGTAGTGGACAGTGCTCAAGAATCAAATACAACAACACCAAAAATTTGTCTGACACAGCAAAGGAATGGACTGCCTAAATAGTATATGTAGTCCCTACGAGTTTTTAAATAGATGGGTGGTTAATAAATTGAATAATTGCATTCTTAGAAAGGTTGATTGAGAGATACCCCAATTCTATAATTCACTGACTCTGATTGTCAAGTATTTGTTGTGGCTTCAGAAATTTCTGATAAATGCTTTTTTCTCAGAGCCTTGTTGTGTCATAATTTTGCTGTAGAGCAAACCACTTAAAACTTTGTGATCTACGAAAATAAGCATTTATTTCTTACTCATGAGTCTACGGGCCAGCTGAGTTTGGCTGATCTAGCAATGGGTTCAGTGCCATTTGCTCCAGACATCGCTCATCTTTCTTGGAATAACAACTATCTGAGGCATGTTTTTCTCATGGTAAGAGGGCAAGAGAAGAGAATGACTGCAGCCATGCAGTACATAGCAAGTCTCTGTTCCTATCATGTTCAATAATACCCCAGTAGCCAGGCAAATCACATGGCCAAACCCAAAAGAGAAGAGGTAGACTCTGCTCACCATGAGGCCAGGGCAGGTATTCAGGTATCTGTTAATACCATGGCAGAGTCAGAAATTGGGGGTCAATCCTTCCTTCTTCCACACCTGTGATGTTGCAGACTATTCCTGGAGTGCAGTCTCCTGTTTGTTAGTTGAGGGGATTGTCCTTTTGATCTAGCTGTGACCCCTGATGAATGATGTACTTCTTAGTACATTGTGGGACCAACATAAGGAGATAGGACCTCTTTAGTAAATGAGCCTTCTAAGATTCAGTTGTGTGGTGAGATAACTAAACTGAGTGGAGGAAAAAGAAGTCACAGAGCCAGTCCTTCAAATCCAGCCAACAGCAGCAGAGGTGTAAATCATTACCAAATAAGGTCCACTCAGGGGTCTGCCTGAATCGAATTGTTGGATTCCTTCCAATTCCCAATGATTTTTCTGGCCATTTTCATAGAAACCTTCAATGTAACTGATACTTCTGGTTTCAAATAATATCCTAGATCAAATGCATAAATTACCTTGAAAATGTGACCATTTTTCTAGGAATAGCTCTCCTTGGCTATCAGATAATACTCAAACTGCTCTCAATTGTTGGGTTGAGTTTAGGAGACAAAAGGCCAGCAGTCACTGAGATTATTAACATGAATTAGGATAAAACCCCCTCTTCAGTTTTCATTTAACAGAATTAAGGTCTTCAGAGAATGACTTTTTTTTTTTTTTTCTAGCATGACACTCATCTACCCTCTGAAGGGCTGGGAGCTAAGGATTCTTTTTCGCTTTCGGTACTTCTTAGAGAAACCCAGAAGAATCCAGTGAGAATGGTTTCCATGCTTGGCTGATTTTCCAGGAATCTTACTGTTGGCAGAATGGCTCAGGGTTTAGATTCCATTCTGGGATCTATGGCTAGATTCAAACTTGGCTGCACACCTGGGTAGCTGTGTGTCCCTGCAAAGGTTATTTAACCTCTGCAATGGTCACTCATGTTCATCACAGATCTTCAGTTCCCTTTCCTCCTGGCACCCAGAGGATGGAGTCCCTGGCTCCTTTGTGGTTGGGTGGTGCTATGTGATCAGTTCTGGCCAAAGGATTGTGAACAAACATGCTTTATGTAACTTCTGGATTATATTGTTTAATACCCAGTGAGAAATGCTCCAGAATTCTCTCTTCTGACACAGTGACCAGCAACATGCAAGGTGACGTAACTCCAATGAGCAGAGTTCCCCTATTGACCTGCACTAGACATATAGCACGAGACAGAAATAACCTTTGTGCTTAGCCATTGACATCTGGGGGGTTATTTGCTACCATAACTTAATCCACCCTACCCTGATTGATGCACCTCACTAAATGTTCATTACTTTATATGAAAAAGTGGAGATAATAGTAGAATCTATGTTACGAAGTAATTATGAGGACTAAACAGGATAATGTGTGTATAACACTTAGAATAGTACCTTGTATGTAATAAATTGTTAACATATTTTGGCTTAGTGATGATGATGATGTCATGCGACACCCTAACTTTGTCTCTAACAAGTTATTAGGCATATGTCTCCGAGTAAATCACTTAACATCAAGTTGCAATAGTGGTATGTTAGAATAAGTGAGCTGTAAGACTCATTTCTAGCCTTAGGAGCCTCTATTAAGGACTCATTCAGAGACTCCATCCTGGTGTTTTGAAGATATTTCTATTGGTTAGGAAAATAAAACGTGCTAATAGTAAACACTAGTTTCTCCCCTTCAGTTGCTCTCCCTTCCCCAAACAGAAAGATCTGTCCTTAATACAGAATTTTTCCTGTACCCTGTTCTGAATATTTCTGATCAGGAAATGACTCTGGCTTGTAAATTATTAGCTAAAAATTGGTTTCCCAATTTAGGCACCTACACCATTATCAGTCCATCCTCATTCTCTGTTCTGTTTTCCCCAGTAAGATGTCACAGCCCACTGTGATCTTTTCTCCTGGTAGCCTGGTCTTACCAAAAGAAGATCCCATCCTTGCCCACCTTAGTACGGGCTCAAATAGCTATCCACACCTCACCACTTATGACCACTGAGACCTGTTTTCCAGCTTCTTCAAATCAGAGCTTTCCATGTCTTGTTTTTCTCTCATGTGACTCTAGATGTATTCTTCTCTGATCCCAAAGGTAGCCCTGTCTGCAATTTGCAATAGCAGCATGTTAATCTAGATCAACATATTAGGTTGAATCATAAGAAATTACCTTTGTGAAAGGGGTGGGGGTTGAATGTAGAAATTTCATATGTTTCAACCTATATATAAACCCAATTTGGGAAAGGAGACTGTGATCGCATACATACTGAATTATATGTTGGATCCCATCAAGAATCCTAATATATTTCTTCCTCCATACCTTGTAGAACTGGGAACTTGTTCCAGGACATGACTTAGGCTCTGTATGTATATTTCAGACCTCCCTATACCCAGCACGTGGTAGATAGCAAATACCGTATTTATTGAGGGATTAGATGGGAGCCTTTTCTGATATGTTGTTGACGTCCAAGTTTACACATTTGAGCTGTTTAAAAAGGCAGCATTTACAATTACATTATGGGAGACAATAACACTTCTTTTTTGAACCTCTTGCAGATTGAAGACATCATTACAAAGATGCAAGATGACAAGACAGGGGGTGTACCCATCAGAACAGTCAAGAGCTTTCTCTCCAAAATCCCCAGCGTTGTCACAGGTAACACCCCCTTCCGGGGCTGGTAACAATCAGAACTACCAAAGAGTCATAAGTCTGGATTGTGGCCTGATGGGATGTCTGAATGTTTCTTGAGTCAGTCTTAGTTCTTAGTTCTAAGAAGAAGCTACTTGTTGGCTGTCATTAGGAATGACTTTACCATGACCAGCCCTTCGAATGCATGTAGATTGAGGCCTCTGGAAATAAATAAGCCCCTTAATAAAGTGGCCCATTAGCAACTTTGCCTGTGGGATATACGCAGGCACCGAAATATTAAAGATATTAAGTTTAAACAGGTTTTTAAGAAAGTGTGTGACCGAGCAAGACTGCGTCTCTCAAAAAAAAAAAAAAAAAAAAAAAAACATGCTAAGGGATGGGATGGGGAATGAAAGAAGCCTTATTGAATGCAGAATGCTAATTATAACAGAGACTCACTGAAAGATTTTAACGGTGGTATGATATGATGTACTTCAGGTTATTCATTTTGTTTGCCCAGGTACTTAATAAGATCCTTGAGAACGAAGGACATACTTTACATTTCATTAGCACTAGACACAGCAATGACACAGTGCAGTTTATAGACCAGGTTCTGAATAACTATGTTGACTAATTGTGCAGGAGTAAAAGCATGTGATGAATCTAAGCTAACTGGACCAAAAAATGATCCAATTAAAACTTGTACCTAAAAAAAAAGAAAGTGTTATGTTCAAATTCTACAAAATGCTTTTCTTTTCAGTTTTTTAACTCAGTGTACTTGAAGTCCTGAAAGAGAGGTTTTAAAATATTTTTCATTCCTTGTATTATGTTTTGTGTGTGTTCATCTTTCTTTTAAAATTTTGTATTGTGAAATATATCAAACACATGGGCAGTTCAAGAATATTAAAACACATCACATGTATCTACCATCCTGCCTTATCAAGAACATGTTATCAATATCTTAGAGCCCCCCAGTGTATCTACTGTATTACATCCACTTCCCTAAACACTGTCTGCTCATATACTAATCAATTCATTGTTTTCTTCATAGTTTTACTACCTAGGCATGCATCTTTTGCTATCCAAACAAGTAACCAAGTAAATTAAGATAGCGTTTGAGATAAATCTCTTAATCTGCCTGTATGCTTTTCAAAATTCAGTAACCAGAAGGACTTAGTTTTCACTTTATACCTTTTAGAATGGCTAAAAATAAAAATATTGATAGTAGCGATTGCTGGTGAGGATGTGAAGCAACTGGAACTCTCACATATTGCTAATAGGAATGCAAAATTGTGCAGCTACTTTGGGAAATAGTTTGGCACTTTCTTACAAAGTTAAACGTATTCTTACCATATGAGCCAGCAGTTCCACTCTTGAGTATTTATCCAAGAGAAATGAAAACTTGTGTTTACCCAAAAACTTGTATGTAAGTGTTTATAGCAACTTGTTTTTGAAGTATACTGAGGAATATAGCAATCTTATTCATAATCTCCAAACAACCCAAATGTCCTTCAATGAATGGGGTAAATGGATAAACAAACTGTGGTCTCTCCATACTTAGCAATAAAGCCAGGGAACTGTTGATACCAGCAGCAACTTGGATTAATCTCTAGGTCATTTTTCTGAGTGACAGAAGCCAGTCTCAAAGGTTACATGCTATGTGCTTTCCTATATACCACATTCTATACATCACAAAACTATAGTGATAGAGAATAGATCAGTGATTTCCATAGACTGGCAGTTGCAGGGCAAGTGTGGCTACAAAAAAACAGCAGGAGGGAGTTTTATAAGACGATAGAACATTTCTGTGTACTGATTGTGGTGATGGTAACATGACTGTCTCTACAGGCCAAAATTCATGGAACAGGCTGGGCATGATGGCTCATGCCTGTAATCTTGGCACTTTAGGAGGCTGAGCAGGGTGGATCACCTATCAGGAGATTGAAATCACCCTGGCCAACATGGCAAAACCCCATCTTTACTACAAAATACAAAAATTAGTTGGCTGTGGTGGTGTGTGTCTGTAGTCTCACCTACTCGGGAGGCTGAGGCAGGGGAATCACTTGAAGCTGGGAGAGGTAGAGGTTGCAGTGAGCCAAAATTGTGCCACTACACTCCAGCCTAGGCTTACAGAGCGAGACTCTGTCTCAATAACAGCAACAACAACAAAAATTCATGGAACAGGATGCACACACACTCACACACAGAGTCAGTATTACTGTATATTAACTTAAAAAATAAATAGACCCAGTTCAAGTACTCATAAGTACCCCAACTCATTATTGAGATTGTCACTATTTGAACTAAGGTTCTGTCTTACTCAACTCAGGCTGCTAGAACAAAGCACCTTACACTGGGTGGCTTATAAAGAACAGAAATTTATGTCTCACTGTTCTGGAGGCTGGAAGTTCGAGATGGGGTTGCCATCATGAGTTCTAGTAAGAGCCCATTCCAGGTTGTAGACTGCTGACTTTTGTTGTATCCTCATTTTGTGGAAAGAGCTAGAAAGGTCTCTGGCCTCTCTGTATAAGGTAATAATTCCATTCATGAGGGGTGCTCCTTCATAAACCCCCCAAAGACCTCCTAATGCCATTGGGGATTAGATTTCAACATATAAATTTGGAGGAGACACATTCAGTCCTAAACAGATCCCAAATAGATTTGGGTAATGAAGGATACTTGTATTGTTAGTGTTTTCTAATTTAAAATTTTATGTAAGTGGAATTTTACTATTATACATATATATTATGTATGTAATTTTACTATATTATTTTTCACATGGCTAGATTTTGTTCAATAATGTTTAAGATTTTTGTATCTATTTCGTGGGCCACATTCGTCTGCTGTTTTTCTTACCATAGTTTCTGGTTTTGGTATCAAATTTATGCTAGCCTCATAAATGAGCCATGAAATATCTCCCTTTTGTTGAAATCCTGCCTTTCTTTGAAAACTAATTATCCCTTTAATCCAGGTTTTAGGTATGTAATTTCAATTATTTTTTATTTCTAAAATTTCCTCTGGTTCTTTTTACAATATGCTTGGTCATTCATTTCTTATTTATTCATTTAGATATTTATTGAGTGTTAACTATTCTCAAAGCATTGTTAAGGACT